CTATACAGATCATGCGTCATTACGCACTGCGACTCAGTCGCCCCGCCTCTCACAGAGGATGGCTAGATTGATATCCTTCTTTGCGGAATATAACGTTGAGGTGAAGTATAAGCCGGAAAAGCAGAATGCTCTGGCTGATGCGTTGACACGCAGATCAGACTATGAGCTTGCTCATGTTACAGCTGTAACGTCGTCTGTGACGGATTCGATCCGCAACACGTATGCGGGTGTTGGGATGTGTGTAGCGCTGCTACGGGCTCTAGGGAGCCAGGATTTTGGAGGCTCGGACAAGAAATTGTCACAAAGACTGCGTGCGCGATTGCACCGATATTCGTTGAATAACGGGTTGCTATACTATAGAACTGATTCAACGGATACACCACGAATTGTGGTTCCTCATAATACGGATTTAAATTACCGCATTCTCTAGGGTAGGCTCACGACGCACCACTCAGTGGTCATCTTGGTCGTGAGAAAACGTACAATTCTGTGAGTCACCACTATTGGTGGCCCAAGTTGTACAAATGGACGAGCACCTATGTGCGGACGTGTCAGACGTGTCAACGGGTGGAAACCTCTCCAAATGCGGCTGCGCCGCTGGCCAGCTTACCGGTACCCACTGGTGCTGGCAGTCCATGAGTTTGGACTTGTGTTTGGCCTGCCAGAAAATTCGGCGGGCAACACGGGTATCGTGGTATTCGTCGACCGGTTGAGCAAGATGGCTCATTTGGCGGCTGTACCAGACACCATCGACAGAGTCGGTACAACAACGCTGTTCGTGGATCGTGTTTTCCGTCAAAACGGACTCCCAGAGTCGATTGTCTCGGATAGAGACCCCCGTTTCAAGGATAAATTTTGGTCATCTCTCTTCAAGGTGCTCGGCACCAAGTTGGATATATCGACAGCGGACCATCCGCAGACCGATAATCAAGCCGAAAGGGGGAATCGTGTCGTCGAAGACGTTCTTCGCAGCGTCTGCGCTGAGACGCCGAGACGCGTGAGCGCCTTGTTGCCACTCGAAGAGTTTGCGCTGAGCAATGCAGTGCATTCGTCTACCGGCTACACGCCGTTCTACGTGAACGGGATGATTCACCCTCGCGTCCCGCTGACGCCGCCTCAAGGTTTGGTGA